GCTTGTTTGTTCTTTGTGTAGCTGAAGTGATTAGTAGTGAAAAGAATCCAATGGTTTTTGGGATTCTCTGGGCCCCTCTATGGTGTTCACTTCAAGGTTATCACAACAGGCAAGAACTCAAAGCTAGAGGTAGGATCATCATGTAATTATTCCCAGGTTATGTGTTTTGTGACATTCTGATGGCAGTAGCCTTCACTTCTTGACAATATTTGCTGCCACTGAAGCCAGGATGATTCTCTCAAGAAATGAGGAGAGAGATGGTCATGTTTATATAGAGTTGCCACCTTAATTTTCTAACAACAGAGCAATAGTGTTTTTATTATTTGGAACCACATTTTAAGGCTTTACTTAGGTATATGTATAACTGACATGCAATGAAGAGCACTTTTCTAATGTGCACTATTTGGTGAGGTTGAACGTATGGATAAAGCTCAGAAACTATCACATGTAAAATATGCTTCTCTGTTACCCATACCCATGGTGGGGCAAAAGTATGATTATAGTTGTGAGTATGCAAAACACAGAATTTATTTTCTTATTTTAAAAACTATCTATACTAATAAAAGGGTAATGTGCTAATTAGACCAGATCAACCGGACACATTCTGGACATTTGGCTTCCTTTCAGAGAAAGCTACGGTGGTAGCGGCCAAGGCAGAGGTGGTTAGGGGCGTTCAGGCCTGAAGGGGAGCAAGCAGTTATGGGTGAGATCAGGCTGGCGTGGGGGAGTAAGCAATTAGGGGCACAATCAGGCCAGCACTGAGGAGCAAAGCAGTTAGGGGGCGATCGGGCCAGCAGGAGAGGGCAGTTGGGGGTGACCAGGCCAGCAGGCAGAGGCAGTTAGGGGTGAACAGGCAGGCAGGTGACTGGTTAGGAGCCAGCGGTCCCGGATTGTGAGAGGGATTTCTGACTGCTGGTCTGGCCTAAACCAGCAGTCAGACATCCCCTGAAGGGTCCCAGATTGGAGAGGGTGCAAGCTGTGCTGAGGGACACCTCCTGTGCATGAATTTCATGTACTAGGCCTCTATACAGTATATATAAAAGGCTAATATGCACTGTCCCCTAGGGCCGTGGTCGGCAAACAGCGGCTCACTAGCCACAAGCGGCTCTTTGGCCCCTTCAGTGTGGCACTTCCACAAAATACCACGTGGGGGCGCGCACGTACAGTGCAACTGAAACTTCATGGCTCATGAAGTTTCATGGCCCATATCCTAGTTTTGCACACCTTGTATTTACCTCTTGCCCTTTTATAATCTTTCGAATTCTCTATCCTCTATACAACCATTGCTTTACCTCTTCTTACAATAGATTAGTTCATATTTTCTTAAATTTATAGTCACTATAAGGTGTATAATTTTTAACAAACACTGGCTTCCTTCTTGCTACACAAGTATTTTTATTTTTTTAATTTTTTTTTATTAATTAAATCTTTATCGTTCAGATTATTACATTTGTTCCTCTTTTTTCCTATCATAACTCCCCTCCACCCAGTTCCCACCCCATCCTCCTCCCTCACTCCCCACCCACTGTCCTCATCCATAGGTGCACGATTTTTGTCCAGTCTCTTCCCGTATCCCCCTCACCCCTTTCCCTCCCAAGAATAGCCAGTCCACTCCCTTTCTATGCCCCTGATTCTATTATAATCACCAGTTCATTCTATTCATCAGATTATTCACTTGATTTTCAGGTTCACTTGTTGATAGATGTGTATTTGTTGTTCATAATTTTTTTTTTAATTAAATCTTTATTGTTCAGGTTACATTTGTTCCTCTTTTTTCCCCCCCATAACT